CCCCCCCTTACTTGCTGCAGGCGGCCCTCCCCGCGCCCCCCTGCCCCAGCTCCCTCCGCCTAAATGCAGACGACGACTGGGGTGGCCGAAGATCTGGCCACCGTGGTCGCCGCCAAAGAAAATGCTGCCCCCCAAATGCTAGCGCCCTAGGCAACCGCCTAGCTCACCTAATAGTTTGCACCAGCCCTGGGCTCAGATCTGGTTCTCTGGTTCAGATCCAAGTCTGAATTTCTCCAAAACATGATTGGGGTTAAGAGCTCTTTTTTTCTGATTTGAATCCACTGTACATAGATGAGAGTGAACCAAGAAGCTCAGGTCTGGATCCAATTCCAGTTGCCCCCAAATATTAAGGGCTGTTTATGTCTGATTTCCTGAATTGGATCTCTATCTATATTTTTGGTTTTGAATCTCAGGGACTACCAAGGTGATATGAAATGTAAAGGTGTGTACAAACCCCTGTGAACTTCAGATGCTGAGTTTCACATAGGTCAACTCATGCTTATCAGTAAATCTCCTGAACTTAGCTTCTATATTCTTCCTCATAATGATAATGATACTTTATCTTTCTATCTTCCTCTGAAGGCCAAAGCAATTTACAAATGTTAATAAATTAATCCTCACAGCTCTCTTGTGAGGAGAGTAATTATTACTTAGATGCATTTTATGGATGGGGAAACTGAGGCCTCGATGAAGTGACACATTCATAGCCAGAGAGTAAATCAGTGGCAGAGACATAATTAGAGGCCTCTTCATGCCCAGTCCCCTATTAGGGCCAAATTCTGATGTCGGAGACACCTGTATAAATGTGGAGTAATTTCATTGACTCAGTAGCGTTCCCCTCACTGATACCAGCAGTGAATTTACCCCAGTATTACTTAAGGAGATGGACTGGTGACCTTAATGAAACTTTTCCATCTTTAAGTTCTCTGATTGTATATATTTCCCTGCCTCCCACCACTAAAATATGAACAGCATTTGTTGATTTGCGGGGAAGGTTGTTTCTGAAAAATTAACTTTCTGAAAAACATGCTTAATCTCTCTCTATTTACTGTATATCACCCTATAAAGGGAGCGTTTGCTATTTAAGTAGAAAAGGATATACACCATAAGGAGCTGAAAATAACCAGCTACAGACTAGTTAAAATTATGTAGGCTCGGTATGAAGCATGAAGAGCTAGTCAGCTGCTAGGATTCAAATTTGTGGATCTAGAGAGTCTAGATGTTTCAGACCTGCTATTTAGACTACTAAGCCACTCAGGAGCAATACGATTTAGACATATTGGTGGGGGAATAAACACTTAGCATGGGATGCAGTATTGCCTTGTAATTAAAGCATTAGACTAGGCTCCAGGAGAGCTAGATTTTAATCTCAGCTATGTCACTGATTCACAACAGGGCCTTGGGCAAATCACTTCACCTCTCTGTGCCTCAGCTTCCCCATCTAAAATGGGGGCAATAATAATTGCACCTACCTTTTGAAAAATGCTTTGAGATCCTTGGCTGCCAGGTGATATGTGTGTAAGTACAAAGTATCATTATTCTCCTGATCCTCCAGCCTTACTTCTCATTTAAGTCAACAGAAGTTTTGTGCGCATGATGACATCAGGTTTGTGTGGTCAGAAGGAGGGCTGTTACAACATTTTAGGGGCAGCGTATAGAATTGATGTAAACCATATATTTTCTCTAGATGTGGCAGATTTTTTTGGTAATATCTGAGTTTTCTGTAGACATAAGCAGTCTATTGCTTTTCTCCCCTTTCTTTCCCCACCCCCGTGGGAAAAATGGGGGAGTATTCTTCAGCCCAGACCTTTATTTTAAATAACCTTGGCCGGGTTGCCATTGGAAAAAAATTTCTTTACTTGAGGGATTTATTTCTGTCCTTGCAACACTATGTACTATATGCAATGCACCTGTTCAGACATAAGCACAGTTCATTATTATAGCTGTAGGGGCAGAAGCTTACTAATACGTATATATTGGGGGGAGAGAATATTAGGGAGAATGGCCCTCTCTTTTAGTTTGCTTACTGAGCAACCTCTTGTAGAGACTTCCTCCTCCTCCAGATCAGTTTTCCCTGCTCCCCTATTGTCTGGGGAAACCTGTCTTCGGGAGCTTCGTTCTTGAAAGATCTCATGACTTTAAAATCATCAGTGGGCTTTGTGTAGCCTGCCTGTCAAAAGAGATATGTTTACACCTTCCCTGCATGTGTTAAAGCTATAAGGTTACGGAGCAGAATGGCTGATACATTTCAGTGCTTCATGCTAATATGCACAAAATGTATTTATGATAATTACATAGACTGTCTGAAACAATGCATTCCAACATTCTGTAACATAAATAAGAAAGGTGGAGCCAGCTGGCTGTAAACAGTTTATTTGCCAGCAATCCTGATCTGCACTATATACCTTTTTTACACTGTCTCAGTCTGGCAGTATTGAACCTGTTGCTGCATTAGCCGAGTTGTATTTTGCTAGATAGGGGAAGGAGGGTTGTCTGCTGTCTGGTAGGAGGGCTTTGTCTGTGTGTGCCTTTCTCTCTCTCTCTCTCTCCCTCTCACACTCTCGCTTGCTCTCTCTCTCTCTCTCTCTCACTCCCTTTCCCGTCTCTGTGGTTTGTAAGGTAGGTTGCAGTGTGTGTATATACACAACATCAAGAGCAGGAAAATGGACTCATTAGGGAGGCAGGCAGTCATTACCACTCACACTGTACTTCCAGGGAGACAGCGACTATGAGGAGACAAACTGAGGACTGGGGAACAAGGTAGGCCAGTCAACTTTTATAAAAAAAAAAATCCTGCTCCCCCCTAGCCCCATGACACTTATTTATTCTTTCACCCCCACCCTCTCGATTTTTAATATAGAGATGTAAGTTTGTCAATCCCATTTGCTAGCTTAAAATTTTGAACATCTATAGAAGGCCTTAGCCTTTACAAATGTTTTTTCCCCTTCTACTTATTCCAGGGTGTGCCCCCTTATGATTCACTTTAATTACTTTTTTTTAACATCAGTGAAGGAAACAAATATGTTTGTTTTCCAACACTAGTTCCAAGTAAATCAATATCTTTCACTCTTTTAAAACAGCCCTCTCCGTATGTCTGTGGGTCTCTGCTTTTTCTTTTCTGTTTATGCAGTTCCATCTGTCCGTCCATATATCATGTTCTCCTTATTTACTGCTAAATGGGTTTTTGTTAGTATTTGCCAATGAGTTTTAGCTGTATTGCCGGTGACCAGGTTTAACTGTGACTCTTGTTCTTTGTTTTATATCTACTATAAGTTTAAAGTCCATGTTGATTGTACATTAAATAAAAACAGAAAGCAGGTTCCACTCTTTCTGCCAGGATTTTTATTTTAAAAAATTTGGGGGGAGGGAGAAGGGGAGGTGATTTTAATTAGCATACATGTACTTTTCCCTGATGGATTTTTAAAGCATTTATTTTAATTTTTTTAACTCTTTATTTTACTTAAGAGGGAGTGGGAGATATATTCTAACTTTTATGTTGCTGATTTAATGTTACATCATAGAGGCATGACTGGGTTAATATGAATTCAAACTTTCTAAGAGGGAGTTTGTATCTTTGATTGCCCTCCCCCATTTATACATGGTTGTGCTTGTGTTTCAGTATGTGTATTTGGAGGGGGGAGGTAGATATCTTTTTACAGTGGAAACAATTTATGAAATCTTTTGAGCCATTTTGTCTAGAAACAGTAACTATTTATTTACCATATTTTCATTCCATAAATAACCTTTGTATTTGTTATTTCAAATACAGAGTGTGTCTGTGGATTCATTATTACTATTTTTCTGGGTTTGTGTTGCGTCTCATAGCCCATTTAACAATGTTGAGTTTTTCAAGCTAGCCTTATCATGGGTTCTAAAGGCTGGTTAAACAGATCCATTTGAAATGGGCTTTTTATCTGAGCTCTTGTCAGTGCTGTCGGAGAGTAAAACTGCTACTCTGTTGGTAAAAAAAAAATTAAGACAGATAGTGAGTGGAAGTGAGTTATATAAAACATTCTGGAGAATCCATGAGAAATTATAGAAAATGGACGCTGATCAGTGGAGATCTCTTAACAATAACAATCACCTTTTAAAATAGCAAATTATTTTAGAGGCAGACGATTTAATAAAAAATCTATTAGGCCTTTCCGATAACACATGTCCATAATGCAATATTCCTAGCCCACCTGGGATTGTACAGGAGATTCTTCAACACATTATCAGGGTTCAGATCTTGTGAAATGTTTATTAAAAATCCATTGTTTTAGGACAGTAGACAACTTTTGGTACCAACAAGTTTATCTTTTGTATTTTTACATCCTGTATCTTCTAACTCTCTCATCTCAACAAAAGCGACTTCTCTCTGGACAAACCAAATCAGTTTAAACCCAGAACAGCAAATAATCCACTGGCTCTGTAGATACAGAACCCATTCACTCCATCTTATTAGTTTTTTTCCAGGCCTAAGCGGAACTTTTCAGTGGCTTTCTGTAGCATTTTGTCAAGAATCGGTGGTCCATTTGTTAGCTCAGGAATGAAATTTAGTGTTTTCCACTCCCTTTCCTGCCTCTTTTCAACTCAGGCTGCTAATTAACATTTGGTCAACAAACTTTAACTGTTTTTATTGTCAGAAATTACTTGTCACTGTAGTAAGATATTCTCCCCTCCCCCTAAACTCTGATTTGAGCATATAGGGAGCTGAAGTATTTCCAAAAATTAAGGGGTCTCAAACGGGGGAACATTTGATGCTGTTTTGATGGGGGTTAGCCTGGAGGCATTGAGCTGAAATATTAGCATTCCCTCCTCCCATTTCCCCACATGAAGTATGTGTGTGCATTTCTAGTCACCCATCACTTTCTTTTGAACCAATACAGGTGTGTATGAGCTCTTACAGCACAGATTTCTATCTATGTGAGTTTTTGTGAAACTGATGTTGGGACTCTTTAATATATGATTAACAGAAGTCATGGTCCTATCCCAACTCTTCCAAATAACTTTAAAAAAGATTACAAAATATCAATTAATCTTATGGAAACACCAGGAAAAAAGAATTGCCTAGTGGGAAAAGCAGGATGTGAGAAACATTTTTTATCATCCAGCAGGAAGAAAAAAAATTAAAATTCTTTAAAAAAAATACTTTCCATTAAAATGATTTAATTCTCTGTGAAACCAAAGTATTTTCTATCAAAAGACTCAGCTTTGTCTATGGCACAAAGTCTGTTTGCAATGTGTATACAAAAGCAAAGGGGAGAGTGTGCCTAAGTAAACTTAAAGCCAGCATATGATGCTGTAATTGGAACTCCAAAAGCCAAAAGTCTTTTGGCACTAGGGAGGTTTAATAGAGTTGGAAGACCTGACATTAGCCAACCTCATATTGTTGTGGGTTCTATATGTTCCAGTCCTACCAACCCTTTCAGTCTAACAGAGTAGAACCCTGCAGTGTTGAGTGGGTCGCAGTATGCTTTATTTTAGTGTTGGAGCTAACAGTTATCTAACACACCCACATGAGGAAGTACTCTGGAGCAGTTATTTCATGCTTTGCCATGCCCTGTAGCTAATGCAATTTTGGACTGAATGGCGTGTGTATATGCCTCTTTAACTCCTGTGAGATCAAAGTGAGTGCTGGATTTTTTAACAAGGCCAAAATATGGGGATACCAGATAGTTAAACCCAAATGCCAAATAAATACTAAGTCAAATTATTTTTAGTATTTTTTTTAGGAGGAGAGATAAATATCAATCTTGTTTATTTTAATATACACAGTTGTTGTAATTTCCTGAGTTGGATATATCATAATAGTAAATATTACTCACAGTTTTCCCATTTCCACATTTTCTCCATAGGCCCAGCTTACTCATAAGGGAACAGCTGCAGAACATTTTTAAACATGTATTATCATTTATATAAAACTGAGATTTAAATGGAGAATGAAATCCCTGCTATAGAATTCTGTAGGATGGTTTAAAAATCCCATAGACAGGAACTCATACTCTGCTAGATTTTATAGGTTTTAAAAGTCATTTCAGGAAACGCCTGCTTAATTTCTACAGCCCATATTGTGCCATTAGTTTTTAAGCAGAAATATACCAAACAGGGGTTTTGTTCATAAACTGATGGCATATGTCCCTATATAATCCAATTAGTTTCATTCCTATATCACTTTGTAGTTTTTTTCCACAATGATGTGTTGGGGAAGATGGCTACTATTGCGAGGAGTTTACAAATGTGAGAGGGAAATTAATAACTCAAATTTAGCTTCTAAGTTATTTAGATATTTGGGAAAAAAAACTTTGACAAAACCTAAGACCCATAGAAGTGTTTCAGAGTTCTTATAAACATTCCAATTGGAACAGTTTTTAAAACAACCAGTTGTTCCTTCTGCATGGTTTGCAACTCAAACCTTGCAGCACTGAGAAACTGATGGTAAACAAAAGTGAAACTGACTTCATTGATTTTGCTTGTCTGACCCAAGAAAATTCAGAAAATAAACAAACAGCATCAACAGTATAAAATTGGATTTTGAATATTCTTTCGCCTCTAATAGTCTAATTGATACTTTTAAACTAAGGTCTAAATCTTGAGGATCTTATGAAATGTTTACTCAATTTTAGCTCAGGCATACTCTCGTTGATTTATCAAGGTTTGAGTAAGGGGTGAATACAATTTGAGTAAAGAGCTAAGGATTTATCCCAATTTGGTTTTTAAGTCGACAGTATCCCTTGTATTCCTGTTGATTATTTATCTAATTTTAATTTTAATGCTTAGTCCTATAGTAATTATCAAATTCTCCTTTTAGTAGAAATCTGGCACTTCATAATGATGACTAATTATGCATGTTTGGTTTTCTGCCTATACAGGACCCAGTAGTACAGTCTTCCCATGTACACTGTATACATTGCAGTCACTTCAATGGATGTTCTATTTGTATAGGGTTTGAAGGAATGGGCTCATAAGAAAGAACTGAAACATTTGTGGCTAGCAGGGATATGGGTATGTGCTTGTCCCATGGTCTGTGGGTCAGCAGAGGCTGAAAGTATTATTGAGTCAGTTTGTCACATTCTTCTTCTATGGCCAGTGTGGGGTCAGTGTTGATAGATAGCAGGGGGTAGGAATGGGAGGTACATCCAGATTTCATTGGGGAAGGCTATCTGACTTGGAGCATTTGAGAGGCCTGGATGGAAAAATGGGATAATGGCAGAAAACCATGCTGAAAAAGAAAATAGTTACTCTCTGACAGCCCTTTGTATGTAGTATGTGAAATGAACATGGGGCTCTCAATCCAGTTCCTAATGGGAAGATGTCCGTATTACAAAATCAAATCATCAAAGCCATTGGCACTAGGTGGCAGTGTGAAAAGAAAGGGCGAGGACTGAATGGGCACAAAGACAGAACTCTCATGAGAAGTGGTTCCCTCACCATCAGCAATAAGCCACGTCAACAGCATAATGTGAAGAAAATGTTATTGTTGCTGCCTGTCCTATACCTGTTCTGTGACTGTCAATCTGGCATTATTCAGCAACTCCGTGTGTGTGTGTGGGTAGATAGATAGGTAAATAGATATATTAAGAACAGTCCTGCCTAATTCAAACACTGGCACAACATATAGGGCTTGATTCTCTAGTGTCTTGTACCTTGTGTCATTATTTACACCTGTGCAAAATGAGTGCAGAATATTACCACTGGTGTGAGTGAGTGAGAAGAAAATTATGCTTTGGTAGCATTTTATGCCCAGTTTGCACAACTATAAGTGACAGTGCAAGGTT